AGGCTCCACCCTTAAGTTGTAATTTTTATACTTACTAAACTACCGTTGCCCCGCAGGTCTTTTAGTTTGTAATGTAAATTTTCCTCTTAACAAAATTAGAAGGAAAAAAAAGTTTACCAGTGGCGTATTTATTTCAAAAATAACTTATACATTTATTTGGAATATCAGGGAAAGTACATTACGAGTGAAATAGTAGTGTGTGCAACAATAGTGGATATGATGGCCATATCGCGATGTGGACAATCCACTCGAATTGTACAGTATATTTTTTCTACGACCTACTAACGAAATTTTACTTATAAAAAAATATTTTAGGTTATTAAGACAAAATAATTTTAAAATAATTTGTTTCCAATAATTTTTGAAATAAAATATACGAAAAATAAAAAAGTTTATTTCATTTGTCTCCATTCGAGAATCGAACTCCAGTCTTCCGCGTGGAAGGCGAGAACGCTGACCGCAGGACCACCTATTCTTTTATTTTTAATGCTTTAATACTCGTAATTAAATTGACTTCATATAGCTCTATTTAAATTAAATTATTTATAATTATAGAAGAAATAAAAATGCTATTATTTATCGATTCTACACAAGAATAACCTATTTTAATGTATGTTTAATCTCAATAACTAAAAAATATACTGACAATTGCAATATTACCCTGACACTTTGCCCGCCATTTTGTAACATTATTCGTTAACTTTTTGATAAATGTAATTTCAAAACACTTATAGAGATTTTTACTAGCTCAGTGAAATTTAATAGCAAATGTTACTTACCTTAAAAATTAAAAAAATAAATGAGCACATTGACCATACTTTTCTCTGTCGTGAATTCGGCTTCTCAAATAGACAATTTTAAGAATAGCAATGTCTCTAGGAAATGTTGGGCACCAATAATTCTCTTTTTTATTTTTAAAAGCTATTGAGAATTATAAATTCTAGCTTTATCAATAAAAAGAAGTTAATAAAAATTATATAGAATTTTGTGTGAATGAAAGAATTTTTGTAACCTTTAAAAAATAATATTCAACATATATACTTATAAAAATTAACGATTTTATTTAAAAAACAAGAAACCGTTCGGAAAACAAATTATTTACAGTTATCAGGTATCCAATTTAGATTCGTACATAAATAATTTTAGTCACTAGTAACCCACATAGCACACGGACGTCTAAAAGACGTCCTTTAGGGACATAAAGGACGTCCGAGGGACGTCCTATTTTGGTACCAGGACGTCAATCGGACGTCCCATGGACGTCCTAATGTCCCGTTTCTGTCCATCTTAGGGACGTCCCTTAGGGACGTCCCTGGGACATCCCAAAAGGACGTCATAGGGACCTTTGCGGGACGTCCTAGGGACGTAAATCAGACGTCCGAGGGACGATATTTGACCATAATCCATAAAGGGTAATAATAACAAAAATGTTAACAATAAAAGAGCTTTATTTAACAACTTTTATCCTAAAAAACCTAGCTAGAGTTAAACGTTTTCAGTTTACAAAAAAAAAACAGGAATGAATTAAATTTAACACACAGCGCTGGCAAGATGAAACCTTGGGTCCTACTTATAGCTTGTGTCGACAAAACTGAGTATTATAATTTTGTCCAAATTAGTTTTGTTCCAACTTTCCGCCATTAAGGTATTTTCTTTCCGCCAGCGGCTACCGACAATACACATCACTTATTCTCACATCAACACAAAACACTCACTTCACTTTATAACCACTTTACCACCAACATCAAAAAAATAACAAATAACACTATATAACCTTCTTTTTTCTTCGTTAATCTAACTCACTTATTTAAGTTAATTATTGAATGCCGAAAATTGTAGCTATTGTTGTTCTTTTGAAAATAAATGATAGGTTAGGTTTTCTGTCCTCATACTCTTGCAACATCAAAACGTTGAATTTCAAGTTATCGATTCAAAGACCAACGATGCTAGTGCATAGAAAGGCCCATAGACGTCCCTTGGACGTCCCATTAACGTCCCGGACTCGGACCGAAAACTAAACGCTTTGTCGAAACGGGACCAAAATAGGACGTCCAGAGGACGTCCTTCTAAGGACGTCCTAGTGTTAACTGTAATCGGAAGTCCAGTGGACGTCCTATTTAGGTCCGGGACCAACCGGACCAACAAGGAACCAAATCAGGACGTCCATGGGACGTCCTGTGCTATCTGGGAATTACCACATTTTTGCCTTTTTGCTAGCCATTTCTAGATAGCCATAGGTAGTTGAGATTTCTGCCCCTCGGAAACCAACGCCTTTGTCGGTTACTCTTTCTTCTTAGTAAGCTTCGAGTTGTAGCTGTCGCTTTTCCAATTAACTCAGCTCGATTAAGAGATTTCTGTTCCTCGGGAACCAACGTTCAGATTACCGCATGTGGTTTACAGTGGTTGATTTATGGCAGTTGAGTTATGGCTGATTCCATTCGTTTTCTAGACAAAAATAGATTTTGTTTTTCACGTGGCTCTGTACGATATATAAATTTGAAAAATCTACTTTTTTAAAAAAAATGAACCAATAGATAATAAAAACTAGTGACTATACATATTGTGCCGTTCTAGCGACCAGAATGAATCATAAAAACATATTTAACTTTACTATTAAAAAACTAATAATTAACAAAAGGTTTGAATGACTATACATATTGTGCCGTTCTAGCGACCAGAATGAATCATAAAAACATATTTAACTTTACTATTAAAAATTTAATAATTAACAAAAGGTTTGAATAGTATTTCTACTGAGATATTTAATAAAGACATTATACTTTTTATGCTTACCACTATAACAGCCAAGGCACCACCGATACGATCAAAAGGTAATAATAAAATTAAATTTACAAATCTAATTTGAGTATTTGAGATCGTTTGGTTAGTGGTACTCCCACTTCAAGAAATTTCCCTTTCTTTAGAATATTGTGTGTTGGCGATAATTGAATTATACCGGATGGCACACATTTAAATAACATTTTATAATTAGACTTTTAAAATGTTACACAATTAGTTTGACAGAATTATCACATATTTAAAATTTTAAAAATAATAGCAGTCGGTTGATCAAAATATGAACGGTGATTGGTGGGTTTCATTTTTTACAGTGTTCTCACTACCTAGAATGGATATGAAATATATTCGTCCAGTTGATGGCAATAGCATACTTTTTCGTTTTGTAATCTGTGCGTAGATAAGCTAATATCCACGTTTGTTTTTTATAGGTATGCTTTATTAGTTTTAATAGAATATTATTAAACGAGCAATTTATGGTAGCCATTAGTCACCCGAGTGAAAAATGGCCATAAATTGCGAGTGTAATACTATACTTTGTCCATGACCATTATGATTTATTTATTAAATAAAAGTTAAGTGTAGAACGGAAAGTTTTTATTAGGTAACTAACTGTTGTTTAACAAAGGAGTGCTTAACTTACAAGATAACAGCATAAATAACTAGGTATGTATCATTACTTATTTAAATTAATAGTTACGTTAATACCGGAACAATTTTCGAATTTTATTGAAGGCAAGGATTTAAAATCAAAATTATTAGATGAATTTTAAATATTTTCAAAAACCTTGTTAGACATTGCAGTGTTCATTTTATTACTAATAGATTCGTTGATGTAGCTTTCAGCGACCGCCGTACTTTTCAATCCGCCGTCTTTTTAATGCGCTAATATCTTCACCTGCGACTACCTACCGGAATGTGCCAGGACTACAGAAGCGTGAATTATCATAATTCACTCTAGTGATATATGGGTACCATATGCTCTTAGTTAGGAGGTAGAATATTGATTTATTATTAAGTGGTCGTGGACAAATAATTTTTAAAACGTTTTGCAGATGCTATTTTGTCAAAATTAAAAACATTGTGATTGATAAAATTATAATATTAGTTACAAAAAATATTAGAATACATTTCAAGATGATTATACCTACTTACAATTTTTTTCTGAACCGGTATCAAAATAGTACACAAAATAAATAGTGGAAAGATTGACGGCAGTGGTTATATTATGATAAAATGCATTTAAAATAAATAAATAGCATTTTTTTAATTTATTCCAAACTAAAAAAAAAATATTTATTCTTGTTGGGAAATTAACCCGGTTGTAAACACCAAAGTTGAACTGGTCAAGTGAATTATCTAATCAAATGTGTATTAACCAGAAAAAATAATGTAGTTACTTTTAGATTATTGTAATATTTGTTAAAAATAAATATCTAGGATCTAGGTATAAAAAACACTTTAATCATTAAATCGATTTAATAATATAGACATTATATAAATCAAAATAGAAATGATGCATACCGTTGGTCTAATTTTAAAACTCCCAAGTTAGTATGACCATTTTTAAAGAGTTTAAAAACATCCAATAATTTATTTACAACTAAGTAAGATTATTTTGCTTTTTGATAAAATTGTTACTTTCCGAAATTGGAAGGTTTTAAAGCTCTTCACAAATATGGTCAAAACTGATTTACAGGTTTTAAAATTAGGCAGACGATATTATGGTATATTTGATAGCTAATGGGGAAAGATTCTTATCTTCAAGCGTGTGATATAGCAACACTTTACATGACTAAATAGAGCGATAAGTGGTCGTACGAAAAAGCATTCTTTAATTTTGATCTAATTTTTTCTTAAAATTGCTACTCTTAACTTTTCAATCTGCATGATAAAAAAAACTGATATAAACTCAACCAGATTTTAGAAATATATTTTTTTGCAACATATCTGTATTTGTTTATTGAAAAAGTAACTTGAGATTTTTAATATCCCAGAACTGACAAGATGTTAAATGGAGCTATAAGATTTTCAAAATATTGCCTCCATGAGTACCTTACTCCAATACTACAACTAAATTTAAGTGAAAGTAAAGTTAGTCCGAATCAATGCTAGACTTTATTCTTGCCCCTGTGGAACCATCTTGACATAAAATATGATTTTTAGATGAAAGTAATATTAGTTAGTGAGAAAAAAAAAACAGCTTCAAAAAAAAAGTTTTTATTTCTATAAATTAAATTCGCAACAACTTGGTTATATTGACTGAATATCCAAAACATATAAAAATACATTATAAGCTTCTATCACAGAAGTGTAAATAAAAAAAATAAAATTGAGAGAAAGAGTTACTTTTAAGGTTAGTCCCCATTTTTCATACTTGCGGTAATCCGTAATGTGGAAACTTTATAAATATTTGGTAATTGAAAAATGTTGAAATATTTTTTTAAGAGTTTCTTGTCGCTATTAGTTTTTTATTAACCTCAAGCATTTCTTTATGTAATAGTTCTTATGTTTTGTATAAAATACAAATTTTAAATTAGGAAAATTAAAAGATAAACGCGTAGTTGGTAAATCAATCTCTATCAACTTGTTAGCAAAAATAATATAAAAATAACACAAAAATTAAAACATAGTTTCGTTAAAAACTACCAACGTTACTTATGCAACTTTAGATGTCCTTTAATTTGTTGAAAATTAGTCACATGTGAATTAAAACCATTTAAAATGGTGAAACTGTTGTCCCTATAGTGTTGACTGATTCAAAATTGTTCTGTTACATGGTCATTCCTGTTCTATTTGAGCAAAACAGAAACTGCAATACGGATTTCGCAATTGGTATGTATGAGGACTAACCTTTACCCTGTTATATTCTTACATATAGCACATTACATGAAATATCTTCTCGAATACTGGTGAGGCTATTGGTACTCTTAGAATTTGTCTCTGCAAAAAAAAGTTCATTGTAATAAAAAAAAAAACGAATTAATTCTTAAACTAAACTTTATTAAATTTTCTTTGACTTGAATCATTGCAAGTTTGTCAATGTCAAATTAAAATCCAAATGTATTAATTTATAATTATTGTTGGCTTTAATTTTAATACTATCGATAATTCAAATGAAATATTAATAAGAGTACATTATACACGGTACGGTATGAGGTCCTGTCATATGTAGGATTCTTAAACAATGAAATTATATAGGAAGAATACTGATCAAATGCAAGTGGTTTAAATGAACAATATTTATGAATTACAATTCACAATATAGAATAAAAATTGTCAAAAATTGCCGCTCACTTAGAACGCCTACTACTACGACCAACCACAACTCAGGATCAGCATTTTGACATTTTCTATGAATTTAAATGACTTTACCTCCACATACCAACTAGTAACTGACAGTTAATGCTTGCTGGGGTTCCAAAGATTATATGTTAAGAGGAACTAAATTAGTTTAGACATTAGTTATAAGGCTATTAAGAATCATGCATGGGACCTCTAATTTTATATAGAATAAATAACTTTTGACTTTCAGATGTCTTATATCTGTTCACATTGCATTGACCATGGTGTCCGCAAAAGATGAATATATTTTGAATCAGATGTGGTCATGAATATCTGAAGAGGTTATTTAACAATCAACGAGAAATATCAGACGATAGAATTTTAATGTCTCAGAGTACACAGACTTCATAAATTTTACATACACTTGTTATTTTTATAAAAATTCAGACTCCAACAACTCATCATGGATTATTAATATAGTAAACGAACATATAGACCCATTCTTGTTCTTGAAAAACTTACATTATAAACTACTTTCTTAAATCTACCATTTTTTGTTGCCGAATTTAACATGTGACGGTTTTGAATTTTCTCGTCCTCTAGAATTCCCATAGCCCCATCGGCCTCCTCGATTTCCTCCAAAACCGCCTGATCTACTGGCCATGGCGGCTAATTTTGGATTAACAACCTGCAAAAATATATATCATTTTACATGACACATTTTAAATGTGTTATTTTTTTAATACATTTCATTTGCACTCCAAAACTAATTTTCATAAACTTATTTAATATAAAGAAAAATAAAAAGTAATAGATTTTACCTGGTTTGCCTCTGTAAGAACAGCCACCAAATCTTTTGCATGCCTAGAGTTTTTCATTGTAAAAAATGCATAGGATGTTCCTGAGTTGTCAGATCTACCTGTTCTTCCTATTCTGTGGATGTAATCTTCTGAAGAGCCTGGATAATCAAAGTTTACCACATATTTGATTCCATCCACATCTGTTGAAAGAAAAAGACATTTATGAATGAGTACTTTTTAAAAACACTATAAAATAAAGAATTTTTTTTAAAAGAGAATGGCAAATTACCATTACTATATTTAATTTACAAAATAAAAAAAAAGTATTTTACTACCAGGTGTCTCATTTTCAACCATATTGACCATAAAAGGTATAATGTTCATTGAAACACCTTATAATTTGAAAAGCTACAAATTTAATAATATAAAAAAATAACTATTAATATTTAGTCTTTATTATATTAGTCCTTAATAAGTATACAGCCTATTCCTAAATGTCATGTCAATATGGAAGTAGGTTGTTTTATTTTGAGACTAAAATTTCATGTAAACATGTTCTTTACATTTTTATTTTCAATATACATTGTGTTAAAAAATATATTTTTTTTAATATACATTGTTTAAAAATATTTTGCCCTCTAGGGCGCCACTGGTCTTAATAATTTTTATCTAATCAGGTTTAAATCATCATTTTAGTACTACAAGTAAACCTGCAAAGTTATCAACAAGAGATATTAATGAAATAAAAAAACAGTTTTTCTTTTAAGCAATTTAGAGCCAACCAATTATAAGGCAATGAATTACTCCTTCAATACTGTCATGATATTTAGAAACACCCTGCATATTAACTATTCAATACCATTTCCTTTACTTAATAATTAAAGTGTAGATTTTGGAAGAGGCTCCTTCAGGTGTAAAATATTTTAAGAACTATACTAGATTTTCTTCAATTCAATAATTAAACTTACAAGAATATAAATGTATCCAAGCTGTGTTAAGCTATACATCTTCATATATTTTCTTCTGTTATGATGCCAGTCTAGATGATTTAGACTGTTTAGAGGCACTGCAAGAAACCATATTGTATTCAAAAACAAAAAACGAACACAACAAAAGAGCATTATTTTATTTGCTCATCCTGCATGTGCCTCTGAAACAAAATTAAATAGCAAAATAGATTAATAATATGTAAACATTGGAAGCTACAACTTGTAATATAAAAATGTTTATGGTTCTTTGAAACAGTATCTTTAAAAAAAATTTGTGAATATTTTGCTAAAAGAACATCCAATATTATATAGGGTTAAAAAAATTATATAAAGATATTTTACTATATGTTAGAAAAACTAAATAAAACAATTTGTTTAATTTTAATCAAATGAATTTAAATGTCAAATAGTTTTAATTATTTTAAAAGACGTTCTTTTAATTTTTAAAGCAACTTTGTCAGGTAGCCTCTTAAAAATATAATATGTACGTATTTACTAAAAATCTCTATTATGAAAAAAAAAAAAAAAAAAGTAAATTAAGAAACATTACCTAATCCTCTAGCTGCAACATCAGTTGCAACCAATATGGTCGCTTTACCACTTCTGAATTCTCTTAGGACATAATCTCTTTCCTGTTGGCTCTTATCACCATGCATGGCAACAGCAGGGTATCCACTTCGTCTTATGCCTCTAGTAATAAGTTCAACTTTCTTTTTTGTTTCTGCAAATATTATTATTTTGGCGCCCACCTCACCACTGTTATGGATTTCTTCCAAGAGAGCAAGCAGTCTGGTAAATTTATTAAAATGTAAATTTAATACAAATGTATTTTTAGATATTGACAAATATAAAGTGCTTATTTTTTCATGTTAGGCATACAAGTTAATAAAATGGCCAAAGGGCAACAGCCAGTCGTTGCGGTCGACTAGAATTAGAAGATATTATGGTGGTGGGTATTAGCCAAACCAAATATCAGTGACTAAACCAGAGAACAAGATATCATAGTTGCCACATGTTTACTGTAAAAGCACGGCTATGTCTAATACAAAATAATAAGTACTGTATGATCACTTGTGTGTTCAATACTATATACATAAAAAAAAAACTTTTGAAATTTATATTACAAAATTTTGTTCCTATTTTACTGATTCTAAAGATACGCGTGTTAAGATGACATTTTCATATTTGCCAAGGAAAGACTAGCTTTCTATTAATGTGTCTCAAAAACATGTAAATGTTGTTTAATTCACAATTACATAATGGGATTTGAATATTGGTATATGTTTAAATTCAAAACCATACTGATTAAATTATAAAAAAATATACTTTAAGATAAAAAATTAACAGGATTGGATAAATGATAGTAACTTACTTGTCTTCTTTTTCATGTTCCTGGCATACATCTACAATTTGAACAATATTATGATTTGCTGCAAGACTTTGTGATCCAACATTCAGATGTACTGTATCTTTCATAAAATCATAAGCCAGTTTTCTGACTTCTTTGGGCCATGTTGCAGACCACATAAGAGTCTGTCTATCAGGTCTAATTTGACTAAGAATTTTACGAATTTGAGGTTCGAAACCCATATCCAACATTCTATCTGCCTCATCTAATACCAAATATGTACATCTTTCCAAGTTGGTAGTTCCCTTCTCCAAAAAGTCTATCAACCTACCAGGAGTAGCTATGCATATTTCTACACCTCTATATAGATCACGAGCTTGGGGCCCTTTTGGTGCTCCTCCAAAGAGGCAGGTATTTCTTACATAAGATGAACTACCAAATTCAGCAGCAACTTGTTGGATTTGTTGGGCCAGTTCTCGAGTGGGAGCTAATACTAAGGCAATTGGTCCTTCACCTAAAAAATATAAATAAAAATGTAACCTTTTTTATTTATTTGTAGTCAAATATTAACTGTTATTTGGCGTTCATTGTTATTTAGTTAAGAGGCCTACTAAATGTCTAGTTTGAGCTCTTTTCAATTACGGAAAAAGTAGGCATACATACTTGAAGGTATTGCTATCATAAAAAACAAATTAAATAAAAATATACAATTTTTACTTTCCTATCTGTATACAGATATAAGGAAAGTATAGGAATCATGATTTTTTTCGACCTCGAGTTTTCGACGGATTTTTACGTTTTGAGGTCCCCTGAATCCGTTTTGACTATTTTCGCGATGATGTATGTGTGTGTGTGTCTGTATGTCGCATAACTCATGAACCGATACACAGAAAAAGACCAAATTTTAAACTTAAGCTTTATTCCAGCGTCTAATGAACTGATTTGATTTTGGGCAGAGTCAAAACATCTGGGGGGGGTACTTTATAGATGGTCATTTTTATATTTTATGGAATATATCTGTTATTTACGTTTGGAGAAGAAAATTCTTCAAATGTAAAAAAAAAAAATTTTTTATAAAAATTGTGCAAATAAAAGTTGTTTGTAATATAATTCTCTATAATTTTTATTCTATACATAATTTCTCTAAAATGGACCGTATTCGAGATATTTGAGAAAATGTGTAAATTTCGAATTTTGAAGAAAACTCAAAAACGGATAAAGAAAAAAACATTAAATTTTAAACTTAAGGTTTATTTCGGCCTGACGTGAAATGATTAGATTTTGGACAAAGTCGGAACATCTGGAGGGGTACTTTATGGGAGGCCGTTTTTATATTTTATGGAATATATCTGTTATTTATGTTTGGAGAAGAAAATTGTTCAAATAAAAGTTACTTCTAATATTATCTGTAATTTTTGCTTTATGTCAAAAGTTCCTGAAATGGCCCGTATTCGAGAAATTTGAAAAAATGTGCAAAATTCTGATTTTTATGAAAATTGTTGAACTAAAAGTTGTTTGCGATATCGATCTCTATAATTTTTGTTTATACATGATTTTTCTAAAATGGACCGTAATGGAAAAGTGCTAAATTTAAATTTTTCAGTATTTTCGTTTTCAATGAATATCTATAGAAAAATGTTTAGAGGTAGATGTACAAAATATCGGGAAAAAGCCTATAATAACTAGATAGATAGGAAAGTCATGTGTTGGACACATCAGATTTTTCAATTAATATTATCAATTTTATAGGAAAGGAAGTGAATAGGGGTTCTGGGTGGGTAAAAAGTAAATAGTTACATTATAAAATATTGTTAGGACAAGAAACATTAGAAATGAATTGCTATATTTGTGATAATAAATAATTGGATAGTAAACTTTTTGTGCGACTTGGCAACAGTGTAAGACATAAAACTAGCATCTCTGAGCTTTGATTTGAGACAATTTGTGGAACATTTTATTTTGTGTTATGGAACTAAGATTTGTTTGTTTACTATAGTGATACCTACAAATATGTATGGTTAATTTTTTCCGAAGGGTGAACCACACTGAAATACTGGTACATTTTCAATCTAAATCACTACAACTTGCTGTTTTAGTATTTTAGTAGCAGATGAATATAGTGTAGAAGTAGTGACAGGATTGATTATTATACTTCTTTCGTCGAAATTGAATGTTTCTTTAATATTTTCCTCCCCTGAGGTCTTTAATAAAAATGTTCATTAGCATAAATCGTTATTCAGGTGGTCACTTGTTGAATTCTTATATTGTCATAAATATCACTACAAAATCGATTCGTGGCTCAAAAACGTAATGCAGCAGCGTGTGGATCAAAAGATGAGGGAAAAGTAAAAAAAAATCATCATATAAAATTAAGGTAGATTTTCAGCAAAATCATACATTTTTTAGCGATTTCCGAAATACGGACATTTTTTGACCTTAGTGGTTTCCCCCTCTGTTTTTCATAAGCGAAAATAGCTCAAATTAGGCCCCTTCATTGTTCTTTTGTATATAAAAGCGATTATTTTTAAAATAAATATTGATTGAACATGCCCAATTGAGTAGATATTCATCAGACCAATGAAAATTTAAAGTTATCAAATTACTGTAAAAAAATTATTTATTAAAAAATATATATATCCAATAATCAAGAATAAAATTTGTAAAATATTTAGTGGTAATACAGACAAAATGAAAAATTCTGATGAGTAAAATGCTTTTAAATTTAATTACAGAACAAAATATTATTATTTAGATCTTTATTTAATTTAGGAAACCCTAATATACATAAAGTAGAACAAAAGTACACACCAAACAAAAAATTTATTATGCAGATAAGAAACTAAAATTAATAAAATATGAGTACAAATGATAAAAATAAGATAAGGTATAAAAGCTTAATCATTAATTAAAAAAATAAAATAAAATTGAACAAAAACATACTAAAATTGAAATACAACATGAACTATAAGTTGAAATTTTTATGGGAATTAAAAGTACAGGATCCGTAAGTAAGGTCGGCCACCTTCACCCATCTGTTTAATAGTTGAAAGTTTTTTTTTTATTAAATAAAATATGTTTATAAATATACTGCAAATGGGTTGCCTAAGAAAATACGGTCACAGCCATTTTATACTTTCCTTTCTGTATAAGGATAAGGAAAGAATAGGAATCATAATAAAAATTGCTTGTGATGTCATTCTCTATAATTTTGGTCCTATGGATTCCCTAAAATAACCCTAATTCGGAATATTGGAGGAAAAGTGCAAATTTCAAATTTTGAAGATAACTCAAAAACAGATGAAGAGAAAAACCAAATTTTAAATTTAAGCATTAATCCATCCTGGGCTGAGCTGATTAAAGTTTGGGTATAGTGGAAGCATCTGGGGAATACTTTTTTTAATTTAATAAAATAAATTGTCATGACCATATTTTCTTAGGCAACCCATTTTTTGATATATTTATAAATATATTATATTTAATAAAAAGAAACTTTCATCCATTAAAGAGATGGGTGAAGGTTGACCTTACTTAGGATCTTAGACCATAAAAATTATGTCCCAAGTATTCATCCCCTATTAAAATAAATAATACATTTAAAGGGTCAAGTTGCAGGAAAGGTATGTACTGACGCGCATCCTGGCCGCGCATATAAAATAATTGGTTTTAAGCATAGATAATTAATTTATCAATGGTTTTACGACAGTATAACTGTACGTTATCAGATTGCTACTTTTATATTATTAATAGGTAAATAATATCTAAGTAAAATAGCAAATAAATAAATATAAACAACTACATGATAAATACCTATAAAGATGTTCCAGGATGCGCATTAAGTACATACCTTTCCTACAACTTTACCCTATATATAATTCTAGAAGTTATTTGTGGTCAGTATTATCAGCCTTTTCAATTGTTAGTCTGTAACTATTAAATGATATATTACCTTTTCTTAGTTGTTGTTGATTATTGATATGCACAATGGCTGGTAGAATGTAAGCCAGAGTTTTTCCTGATCCAGTTTTTGCAATACCAACCATATCTCTTCCACTCATAGCAATGGGCCAACCTTGAGCTTGAATGGCAGTAGGAAATTCATACCCTTGTTTCTGAATTTCTCCCATTACATAATCCGGAAAATTAGCCTCATCAAAATTTTGTATAGGGTTTGGTGCATTAATGTCTACTGTAATCTCTTTTGAACTTCTATATTTTTCAACTTCATATTGCGACCTTTTTTCTACACTTGCATGTGGTACGTAAAAATCTTTTTTTACAGGTTCTAATGTTTTAGAATCCCATTTAACATTTTTTAGACTATCTCCTCCCATTTCATATTTATCTCTTCCCTTCCAGGAGTCGTCCCCGTTTTGATATCCATTTCTGGAACTTCCACCTCGAAAACCACCACCACTACCACTGTTTCCCCCTTTTCTGTATCCTCCTTGATTTCCAAAGCCGTTTTCACGGGCTTTGTAACTGCCAGTATCATTACTCTTATACCTGCAAATTGAGAAAATTTCAAAAATACTTCATGTAGCTGAAATTATTATATTGCAAAAAGTCAGCGAAATATTATTTTTATAAAAGTATGATGAAATAATTTGCACATTAAATAAAACGCATCAATGGACATGTTTTATGAAACGATTGAAACGTGACAGATAAGTAAAGGAAACTTACATTTTTCCTGATAAATAGTTCCTTCTGTGATTTGAACTAAAATTCTTATTTTGTAAATTTTAGTTAGACCCTTTCAGACCTCGAAAGATATTAATCTGAAAAAAAAACATGTATTTTCAAGGAAAAAAATTATTAAATTTAAAATAGTAACATACCTCCTCGTGGTCTTTGTCAAAAAGAAAGAAAAATTTGCAAGCGTGCGTAGATTATGACATTGACAATAATGACAGTTAACCTTGTGCGCTTGCGAATTGCAAATTACTACAAAACAGAATAAGATAAGACCATGACAATTTATCTCGTCTTCTCATTGGTCTTCTCTTCATCCCTTTGCATATTTATAAACCGTAGTCGACAAGGTTATTTATTTATTTATCCTAACAGTGCCTATTGGCCTAATTACAAGGATAATTACTAATAATAATTACAATATACATGCTTACTGCAGTTTACATATTTGTAATTTATTTAATTTTTTTTTCAAATGTTTTGTATTGTACATACCTGTCTATGGGTCCTATGATTGAACGTTTACGTTATCCGTAACGTACCTGTTAGGCCGAATTTTAAAAGTAACGAGGCAAATTCGGATGATGGAAAACTGTTAAATTAGAAGATAACAGGCGGAAAATAACAGTAACGTGTTGAAAAAAATTTTTCATCATACGAATTTGCCTCATTTCTGTTAAAACTCGGCCTAACATGTACGTTACGGATAACGTAAACGTTCAATCATAGCACCCTATGGGTGCTATGATTGAACGTTTACGTTATCCATAACGTACATGTTAGGCTCAGTTTTAACAGTAATTAGGCAAGTTCGTATGATGAAAAACGGTTTCCAACACATTACTGTTATTTTCCGCCTGTTATGTTCTAATTTAACAGTTTTCCATCATACAAACTTGCTTAGTTACTGTTAAAATTCGACCTAACATGTACGTTATGGATAACATAAACGTTCAATCATAGGACCCATTATCATCTAAATTATTTATAATGTTGGCTTAATAGGCGAAGGATCTTTAAATGCTTGCATGAATGCTGAATGCTCAGAGAAAAATTTATATAAAATCCAAGCACCTGCCCTGGAAAACTCTCAAGGCGGAGGCCATAATACCCCAGTATACAGAGATTAGGGGACCCAGTATTTATTACTAAAAGAAAGAAGAAGACATTTAGTTGAAAGATGACAAAATAGGGTTAGGGGATCATTTTTATTCTTATTACCGATTAATCTATAAATTATTTTGCAAATTAAATTTAAAAATATTTTTATTGGATTTACGCAGTTCGGAGTGTTCTTTAAATGTCTCTTCTTAAAGTAGTAACTTATACAAAAACAGTAGTAAGAAATATTAGTAAGCGTCAGTTTGAATGGTATGGTGAAGGAATACACTACCCAGGATTTAAGTATTATCCCAGGTAATAAAACGCTAATTAAATCAATTTTGTAAGATTTTCTATTATTTAATTAAAAAAATATTTTTTTAGGGATCCCACTACATTTAAAGATCCACCTTACAATCCCACAAAATTATTTAGAGTTGAGAGAATCAAACCCTTAAAAGGGGCTCCTTATTGGGAAAAACACATAATAAAGGAATTTCAACTTGATGGCAAAGTATGTTTGCTTCTATTGGAGTTTTATTTTACCTTAAACATATACCTATTCAACTTAAACGCAAGTATCGAGTAAACACAACTATCCCCATGATTACAGCACATTGAGCTAGAGGGTAGGGAAACATTCAAAATGGAAGCACTGGACTGGTGAATAGCAGTTGGGCTTGTGAGTATCATGCTGTGGTCATGGGGCTAGTTGTGTTTACACATTACTTGAATTTAGGTTGAATAGAAACTTATTTGTGAAAATAATGGTGCACAGTAATTATTTCTTACAAAGAAAACTTAGTTTTGATTGTATATTTTCAAATATTTAGAAAACTGGTATGATATTTGATTTCTCTGGTTTTTTTTTTAGACAAACTCGTATGTGATTCTAAAGAATATTCCTGAAAATAACCAAAGGTTATGGAAAGTAAAACATTTGCTTAAAATTGTACCAATAACATTTCCCGACGGATTTCCTAAAAATGATGATGTAACATGTCTCAAAGAAAATGGAGAATTAAGAATTGTTAAAAAAGTTAGTTCTGAACAAGAAACTAAACTTAGAATATCTGAAGAATTCAAAAAAGATTTGAAGCGTATAGATGGTGATACTTTAAGAAGACAATCAAGAATAAAATGGTTGAGTGGTTGGAATCAACCTTAAATATTTTTTTTGTTAGATGAATATTAAAAATTTGTATATATAACTTTTAATAAGATTTTCATTTCTTAATTATTAATTTTTTTGAGAATAAATATTAAAATCAAAGAAACATTATTTTCATCTATTTATCAATGTGATGTCTGATGTCTTAAGATCCCTCAAAAATAGGTAAAACATTTGAGGGTTTCAAAGATTGATGTCTTCCTTGCCATTATGACAAGTGCAAGCATGTTGTGATACTACACCAATATGATACTGGAAGTGTGTTGATAGTAGAAGTTAGTATAGAGAGGAAAATGTTTCAATAATTATTGTGACACATCCACCATAATCAATCCATAATTGCTTGTAGTAGAGTTGTGCAAATGGTAGTAGTGTGAGCATACAAGTTGACTATTTTTAGACTATATAATGTTGATTGAGTTAAAAGACTTCTTATAACCACCACAGAACTTATTTCATATTGTTTCTAATCAAAGCTGTGGAGAAAATAATTGGTCACCCTATAATTCCCTATCTGAAAGAAAATCTTGGATGTAGAAGGACATTTATTATTTGTCTTGGTGCCTGGGTGCAATTTGCTGGATTTATTGTTTTATTTGACTAGCAGGTTGAAAAAACTGAGAACCCCACCCACCTTAATCAACATGGTAACCTACTGTAATTGAAAATCTGGATGTCCTAACAACGTAAATTACTGCTTTATCCATTCAACCCTACAACAAACCACTCGCATGATTTACTGTGGGATCTGTACCAGGTGTCATTCAGTGTTAAATATAATAACATTATTTTCGAAGTACAATAATTAAAAAAAAAAAATCGGTTTTAGGAATACAATATGTTGGTATGCAACCCACAGAGCACCCAGCAATGTTACTTTGTGTAATATTGGTTGCCTATCGAATAATGAGATGATGATACAATAATAATAATAATGAAACACATGTTTCGATTAAAAAACTGAGTTCAAAAAATGTATCGGTAATTAATATTTTGAACTAGAGTACTTTTTACTGAAAAAAAAATAGTGTCTTTTTTTACCATTTCGGCATACCTCTGCTGCACCTCGAGGGGTTACGGCCATGTTTCGGTGCAGTTACTGATACCCCAGTATATATAACAATCAGTATTGGCACTCTGAGGCGGCACGTTTGATCTTTAAAAGTAGAAATTTGAGTTGACACTTGACGTTTTCGGGATATGAAAAGTTTTCTTTACACGGACTTGGTATACCTGGTTAGTTGAATTTTTATTCTGCTGCTTTTCAAATTCGTGTGTATGAGGGAGATGTGAGATACCTTTATAGACAACGGTTGAACAACTTAATTACTTTGAAGAAGAAAATAGATTAGATATCAGGGCAGTCTTCGCAAATGTAAGAAGGACAGAACCGTTTTAAATTTTTTTATATATGTGAAATATTACTTTTTGGTGAAAAGTTTAATTACTTTTAGTTCAAAATATAACGTTAGTTTGTCAAGGGAAAAATATAACACACAAGGTTAGAGTAACAAAATAGAGGTATTGCTTTATTTCTTAAGAATTACTCTAATCTAAAACTTTTCTAGTATATTGTAAAAATGTATTCTATACGTTATTTAGGTACTGCAAAATCTATAGGAAAGTATGTAGTTTTAAATTTAAAAATTTGTAACGGAAACATATTTAGTGTAGTTTTTTTGAAAATATATACTCAGTGACTTGTTTTTGCGAATGAGTTCAAGTATGGCAGACTAAAATCGTTATTTTTTATTATGAATTAATTTGAATTTATTTAAAAGTGGGAACTATATGTAGGTATATGGTTTTCGTAGTTTTTACACTTGTGATAAAAATATCAGTTATGTATATTGGCCATTTACTACACACAGCAAATTCATAGACACAATACATATTACTATTTGACATTCTTGTAAAACCACTAATTTAAAATTGACTTTAAACTAAGTGACCACACATAGAATTGTTTGAAAGCAGCCATAAGGTATAATTTATTTATTGGATACTATAAAAAAATTAATAGTAGGTAGTTACATGTAGAGTTAAGTAACAAGAAATTTAAGACCAAAAACAAAACAAACCTTTATATCTAGTGAACTTAATTTAGTACAGTCCTCAACTTTCTTAGGCTAACATTAAAGATATCTATTTGGATCTCGCTAAGAAACTCATTGGTAACAGCCATCATCTTGTTAAAAGGAGATATACTACTTGGATCTAAATCAAATAATTTTTTGTTACTTAGGTTTCTTAGATTAATCTTTGCCGCATTAACATTTATATAGTCCATCAATTCACAATCTTTGTACTTAAAATAGAGTACAAAATATATCACAGCCTGTTGCTTTCTTCTTTGTAAAAGAGATTTAAACTTAAAACTATTGAGCATAGTTTTATACGAGATCTAAGGTATAAGGGTACAAGTATTTTTTATGACATAAAGGTACCATAAAAATATTTTTTGTACTTTTTCAATATGATTAATTTGTGTGGCTTCCAAGGGCATCCATATTTGTGAAACATACTCAAGATGGAGTCTTACTAAGGCATTATATAATCTGATTTTGGTGGTAATCCTAAATTATTTTGTATTTCTGATTTAAAAACCTAATGCTTTTATTGCTTTGTTAGTTATGTGTAAAAAATGGTTATTGAACTTCAAATTAGACTGACTCCCAAATCCTTTACCTCATATTCACGATTTAATGTGACATCGCAGGTCTTATTTCTAATGTAAAACATTAAGAGGCTATGTATCCTTACAACTTAAAATATGCATACATTTGTAAGTGTTAAATAGACGAATAAAAAGTGTTGATTTTTATTTACAACTATAATAAGAACCCATTAAAAAGATTAAGAGCAATAGAACATTTCAACAAATTTCTATAGGTACACATATTTTTGATACCTGATAATCAATAAATATTTTTTTGGAGTAGCAACAGGTTTATTAATACACAACTATTATTTTGTTACAAATACTTATAATATTTATAATTAACATAATAGTTGATATAAGTCCTTTAAAAATAATATATTTTGATTTAATTGTTGAATTTATGCATGAGCAATTTTCCTTGTAGCGTTGTTTACATTTTGCAGAGAAATATTGTATTCTGCTTTTAGCTGATAAATCATGTACATGTAAATGGGTTGAATGTAGACAATGTTAATGTTTTTGCTACTACTGCTGGCTAGGAATGCTGGGCTGGGACACCAACAAAAAAAAGGAAGCACAAAGCACTAGATGTTTTTATCACTTATACACGTACAATTTACAACCATTCAAGTAACTAGCATGTTGGAAATACTTCACGAAAACATATTAAACATAAATCAGTCGAAGGCAATGTATTTTCTTTTTATAACACACCTTTTTAGCTTGATTACTTTTAGTACTCTATTTATTCCAATGTCCTCAAATAAAACGAGCAATAATAAGGATAAACACACACTGAAGTGTATTTGGGGTATTTTTGATCTAAATCCACTATCAAAATAACAAATTTTCCGTTTTTAAGCTGTGAATGTATTACAAAAACTACTTTGATAAAATGTAAACAGAAGTTTGTTTGTGTACGAAATATGGGTTGCCTGCGCATGGTAGCGAGTTTTTAACCGGATTTGTGACAAGTGATAGGTTATATCCCGAAAACGTCAGCGCAGTAAAAGCTGCGCGTCTTTTTCCCGCCCAGGGAGTGTCATGGGCCTGCTGATACGCTGTGCCCAGACAACACACCAAATCCCAGAGATATCCACAGAATATATTTTGTGGATATCCAATATATCTACAGGATATCAGAAATATTCCGTGGAACTAATATAGATATCCAAATGTCCGTCTATATCCAGAATATAGAAGATATCCTATGGATATTCAGCAAAATATCTAATGAGTATCTCCAGACAATACAAGAAATCCCAGATAAATCCATAGAATATATTTTGTGGATATCCAACCAAATGTCCGTCTATATTCCAGGATATAAAAATTCAGATAAATATTTTATAATTATTTTTAGTAGAGGTTCATAAGTAACCATGGTTATTGAATAACGTCGAAAGAAAATAGAGGTAAAAAATATTCCCAACAATCTCTGCCTCTGATTTTGCCTACTAAGGAGAAAATCATCCTTATTAGGAATCTTCAGCAATAAATGGAACTTCTCGACTTCAGTCTGTTTGTGAAACAATGTCGATCAAACTCAATTACGGCGGGTTAAGCATGAGTAGATACGAAAGTGGTATCGCCATCTATACTTAGGAAGCAAAATCAAAAATTACATCTAGTAGATATCCACGATGGTTTGCGTCCGCGCTTAGACTTTGATATATTTATATTTATAGTGGATGTCCATGGGATATTGAATACACCTTAAAAAAAATTAATTTTAAATATCTCAACGGTACTATTAGCCACAATGGCGAGTACAATGGCGTAATTTTTTAATAATTTGCTATATAATTACAATTTTTTATGGACATTTGCATGTCTATAAATTACATTTCATGGATATAAAATAGATATCCACCATGGACTGGACATTCAGTGGATATTGGGATGTTCAGTAGATATCCAAAGGATTTGGTGTGCTGTCTGGGTGATCGGTGTTTATTTGAATACCTTTCACAGTCAGCCATCAGCGACCTGGAAAAAGTGGGTACTAATAGTCCGTAGGAAAAATATACTATGCTTCTAGTGTGAAAAGTATACTAAGAGTGTGAATTTGTGGCACTATGCAGTATGCACAGATGAAATCAATGCGTCATATTGTCAGTATTAAATTCGGTATCTGCATTGTAGACATTTGTTATTTAAAATATAGTATTCACGAATAATCTGGCACTTTCCTTTATTTGGCGCTGATTTTTTTATGTAAAATATATATTATTTAAAAAATTCGTATTCAAATAAAAATGTCTCAGGTCTGCGCAACCCCTTAAAACTAAAATGTTTGATTTAGGATTTCTAGTATAATAAACTTCCGCTAGGCTGTGCGAGTGGTAGCGCGAGTGATTCATATTGTTGACATTTGACAGTGGGAGGTTGACGGTAGATTCAGTAGTTTTTATTTATGATTCAGGTTGATGTTGATACAGTTAACAGTAGCGAAGTAAATAGTGAATTTGATATTCAGTACTATGTTTTATAATTACATTGATTTTAAGTGAACTTTCCTGTGAGAATTAATGCAATTGGTAGTATAATAGGTTGGTTCGTTCAACATGAGTGAAAAAACGTCCAAAGCTCCTTCAGGGGCGGGGGCATCGGCTCCAAATAAAATGAGACTTTATGCTACTTGGGTTGATAGAACTCCGGCAAACTGTATCCCAAGGTAATATTTTTTATATTTCATTTAAGTAAGACATAATGTTCCTTGTTTTAAGTTATTACGTTGTAGTATTACTTTTAATTTACACAGAGGTACAATAACAAAGCTTTTTACTATTTGCCTGATGATCTTTCTTTGTTTTGTTTGATACTTTTTCACACTGTTCCTGATAAGCCCTAATTTTTACATAATTAACCTTTTAACAAAAAGTTCTACTATATAATTGTGGAAATTACAAACTATCTACCTAAAAAGTACTCATTAATCTATAAGAGGGCTAATTTGAGTTAACTATTCTGTAATTGATTAGTTGGGCTCTTGCTTAGGCATATTAATATGGATAATTTATCATTCTAGGTGTACCTACATAAGTTTTTACAAAAATTGTTAAATATTTTTGAATGAATAAAATTTTGTAGTGGAGAAGATCTTGATTTAATGATTTGTTATTAGATTTTAGATCAACATTTTTTTTTTTAATAATCTCATATTACTTACTACAATTTTTGAAATTTCTTGGAAGCTAATTATATAGTCTGAGCCCATAACTAAGTAGAGGTCTTTGTAAAAAAATATATATTTTGTATAAGTTAATGGGTAAGGACATAATTATGATATTTTCACTAAATACATCTTTAGCATGTTGTATATGTGATACATAATTTGACTGTCTTCATGAACCATAAAAGAAAGTTCAAAGTCTCCTGTTGTGTACCAAATACCTAGTTTTGACTTAAATTTTAACCTCTTACTATGTCTTAAACCTTGGTACATTGTTTTTTTTTTTGCTAAAATAAATGTATAAATACAACAGTAGCTTTATTTAATTCAAATCAAACTAAACTATGATTTTTACATACTTACGTATATCACTGGTGATACCCACTTTACTAAGTTCCTTGCAGTACCGGTTTTTTACCATAAATTCCTCTACATTAAAATTATACATTCTTAGCAATGCTCAATATCACCAGTAATACAGACAGTACAGAAGAGACCCCAATCAAACGTATCACAGGTGACTCATATGGTACCACAGAACAGAATCCTTAGATTTGGCTTGGTAGCCTACATGTTAAGTACAATAAATTATTTTCAATCCTAAATATTAAATGAAAGTGATCACCATTCAAGATATATAAAGTACAGACCTTATCACAATTTTAATGTTCTATTCATGATTTTTTGTGTATTTAAGTATTTTTTTAAAAGTTGTGCTATCTTAAATATCAAGATAGTACCTACCTACCTACAACTCTAATTATTTATCATGTAATTTCAATCAAACTAATGCCTAAATTTTGTGGATTTTTGTACAATACACATTATTTATAAAATAATCAATTTGACCAAATAGATTTTTTGACAATAAAAAAAAATATTTTTCAGCAAACACTATAGAATCCATTGAACATTACTTTGATTTTATTAAAAAAAATGAATTTTATTAATAGCAATATTTATTTATTTTATTTATTGCAAATAATTTGATACTTTTTCACACAGTTTGTGATAAGCCTTAATTTTTACATAATTTACCTTTTAATCAAAAGTTCTACTATATAATTGTGGAAATTATAAATAACTACCTACCTACTCAATAATTAAAAGTGCTAATTCGAGTTAACCATTCAGCGACATATTTCTTTAAGGATTCCAAATTTTTTTTTAACTACTTGTTTTTAAAAAGTCAACCAAATAGAAAAGTGAATGTGTAATGATTGAAAATAATTGGTGAAATTGTACCTATAGTATGTAGGTACCTACTTGAAGAATGAAACATTCAAATGAATAAAATTATTTCAATTTAATTTGGTTAATATGTATTAAAATTATTTATTGATAATAAAAAGAAAACTATATTGTATTATTTTTATAAAGTACTTTAATTAAGGAACTCCCAAAATACTCAAAATATTATAAAGAACCCTTTAAATAACACATTTCCCTACTATTATCTGGAATAAAACACCCTGCTAGGTGTTATTGAATAAATCATTATTGAATATGTTGATTAAATTACAAAAAGATTCAACCTTAAAAATGCATCTGAGGCCACCCCAACTGCGGCCCCTACAATTAAATATTTTCCTGTTGTCTATAGAAAGAATTAAATATTTTTCTGTTATCTATAGAAAGAAGAAGCCCCGCTACATTTTATTAATTAACTCATTAGTTTTAAAAATATTCAGCATTCCAAGTGCATCAGAAATCACCTCTGCTGCAATCCTTGAAATCGTATATTTTCCTGTTGCCTATAGAAAAATGCAACCCCGCTGGATTTTATTGCTTAATCATTGTATAATATAATCATTAGTTTTAAAAATGATTCATCATTCTAAGTGCATCAGAAAGCACCAATGCTGCTACTCTTAGAAACATCAATTTTCCTGTAGCTTATAGACAAAAAGAAACTTCAATAGATTGTATTGTTTAAGTTATTGTATAATATAATCATTAGTTTTATAAAGAAATTAATAGTTCCATATGTAAAATATATGATTATTTTAATAAACTATTTGAGGCACTGTTCTCAACATTTCAGCAAATGGACTAAAACAATAATTTAAAATACTCTAATATTACCTCATTTTAATTATTGTGCCACTATATTGTATTTGCTCAACCAGAATGAGTTGCAAAAGTTGCAGAATAGAGGTATGAGGATAATACTGATCTGTTCAAGATTGGACCCAATCAATTCCATCTTAAATATGCTTCAGTGGTTGCCTGTTAAAAATATTTGCTGTTCTATTCCCTGCTATTTATATTTAAGATTAAATCAGGTATCTCCCCAGTATATTTACAAAATATTTTAAGTTATAATCAGGATGTTCATGAACACAATAAACGAAATAAGAAAATTTTTAGAGTTTATGCCACGAAAAAATGTATACAAAATTAAGGGTTTTTAAAGGTGTACAGGCTTTTAATAATTTGTCTGAATATATTAAATGTTCTTCAAACGCAGCAATATTTAAAAGAAAACTGCATGTGTACTTGCTGACCAATTGATGTTATTTTTTCTTGTTTATGTTTTGTATAGTTGACATGTAAGTCTACTGTATACTTATATATTTTTATTGTATTTTAAAATCGTATACTTTCCTGTTGCTTATAGAAAAAGGAAACCCCGCTGGATTTTGTTAATTAAATCATATAATGTAATCATCTATTTTAAAAAAGATTTAGCATCCCAAGTGCATCGGATCATATATTGAATTAATCAATAACATCTAGAGGGGTTTCTGTTTTTTATAGGCAACAGGAAAGTATTTAATTCTAGTGGTCACAGTTGTGGTGGTTTCCCATGCTCTTTTAAGGATGAATCTTTTTGTAACCTAATTAACTAATGCAGACCATGTTCATTTGCTTGATAGATATATTCTATTTAGGTTGATGACTAACGGAGTTGATGAACAGCGTCAATTCGCCAGTTGGTTGACTACTGTGTTGATGTTTATATTCTTATTTAGCTTGCTGACTAACGGAGTTAACGAACAGCGTCAATTCGCCAGTTGGTTAACTACTGTGTTGATGTTTATATTTTTATTTAGCTTAATTCTATTCTGGATATACACAGGTTGTACCCTCTTAGGTAATTATTTCGACGAGTATAGAGGTGATGACCAACGGAAATAACGAACAGTGTCAACTCGGTAGTTGGTTACCTTACTATGTTGATTTCACATATACTTTGTTTCAAACCTAGTAGAATGGGTGGCTTAGTATAAGATGCCCCCCTTGAGCTAACGAACAGTCTCCATTTACCAGTTGGTTAACTTACTATTAAATTTTACCATCTCGGTTTGTATAATTTATCCAAGATAATACATCCCTGAATATTTCTAAAGTATTGATTTTTTATAATTTCTATTGAAATGACTTAATACAACCCTGTATTTTTCTAAATATTGATTTTTATTATTTCTATTGAAATACTCAAATTCACCCATCGAAAACAGATGTCTAACCTAACTGTCTTTCGGGGTAAATGTCCGAAAGCCATATGGTTTAATGGTTACATTGATAATATTTTGAAGAAAATGTCAGGGCCTTATTCAAACGAAACCCCGGTGGTATCTCAAAGAAAGTTACATAAATATTTTGACTTGCCATTGAAAATACAGACATTAAATTCGTCTATACTAGACATAATGTACTAATTGTATCTAGCGTTGTGACGGCGTCGATTTAGGTACGTCGCAGCGTTGAGCGTCGCCTTGGGTCGAGGCGCTTAGCGTCGTGCTGGAGAGGAAGGTATTTATTATGGTACTGCGTCGGAACAGAGATACGGTAGAAAATACTGGTGCTGCGCGACAAAAGGTGTCATCAAGGATATTATGAAGGAAATATTTAAGGACGACAAGCGTCCGGAAATAAGACGTGGGGCGCTGACAGCGTTCGGGGAACAGGAGGTATTGTAGGGTAGACGTCGTTTAGGAAGAGCGTTTTAGGAAAGGTATAGACTATATAACTGGATACAAATAATAAAATGATTGCTTGAATATAAAATACTTAAATGAATGAATTCTCGGGTTCGGGTCTTTATACCAGTTTTAATGGCTTTTTGTGACGTCAGTTGTTTGTAGCTCCGCTAGGAACGAATTTTTTTGGGTGGTAAATTTATTTTGTGCCTTGAGAACTTCTTGCAATTTTGTATCGAAATATTGTCGAAAATCGGTCTTAACATCGAAACTAGAAAGATAAGCGAGTTAAGTGTTTTAATGATATTATTTCGTGAAAAGAAATATGTTTATGGGGGTTTTTGGATCGGATTCTCATGGGATAACTTTTTATCTTTTCTGTAATATTAGAGACACCGCGAACCGAAATATTGCTTTTATTTATAACGAATATTTTTCGTTAAATATAAAAATTTGAATTTAATAAGAATGCAACTTTTCTTTAATAAAATGGAATTAATAAATTATGAAGGTACCTGAGTGAGGTAGGTTACATAACATATTGTATAATGATTTATTCAATAACACAAGACAGTA